AACGAAACCGAAGACACTCAATACTGTTTGAGAAGAGGAGTTTACATATTCATCTGCGAATAGTGTTTAAGTGAAGTTACAGAAGTGGGAGAAAGACAACCAATTATTGGACACTTCTGTAACTTCACTTAAACACTATTCGCAGCCCTCACGAGGCACAAAATAATTCTCTCCAACCTCTACTTATCNAAGTGAAGTTACAGAAGTGGGAGAAAGACAACCAATTATTGGACACTTCTGTAACTTCACTTAAACACTATTCGCATCTGCGAATAACTTTTGTGTATTTTTAGTAGTGAAATTTGATGTGCCAATTTGATAAGTAGAGGTTGGAGAGAATTATTTTGTGCCTCGTGAGGGCTGCGAATAGTGTTTAAGTGAAGTTACAGAAGTGTCCAATAATTGGTTGTCTTTCTCCCACTTCTGTAACTTCACTTAAACACTATTCGCAGATGAATATTTAAACTCCTCTTCTCAAACAGTATTGAGTGTCTTCGCTTTCGTTCTAATAAGTACAGAATAAACTGTCTGTCCTNCTTTAGGTAGTAAGATAATGATTTTTTAATCGGCTCACGACAGAGGGAGGAATGGGGGGTCCCTTGAACTTTGTGGAAACCAGTCTCGGATCGAGTCTCGCACGAGAGTAGTGATACGAGAGTGGTTTAGTAATTAACAAATGAGTTTGTTAATTATTTTTTATTAATTGGATGCACAGTGAGCTAAAAATAATAAAAATAATAAAATAATAATAATAAATAATTANATTCATTATTCTGGGAATCACCAAAAATTCTTATCAATTCTTCAACACCCCCAACCCCTCGTTACACGACCAAAAAAATCTCCAAAAAGCTAGGATCCCTAATCTATCATCACCCCCAACTACTTCCCCGATCAATTGATCTCCATGAATGGATCCAAACCCCCACGATTCATCGAATGAAGATGAAAGAGTGAGAAGGAACATGGCAGCATTAATTGTATTGCACAATTTGCTAGATCTGACCATTTCCTCCAGTTGTAATCCCCACGAACCTCNGCATAAACAACTCTCGGATGCACTCTCGGACGAGAGTCTTTACTGGAGTTTGGCGCCCTAACCTCCAAAAATCCGAGAGTCGAATGAGTGTCCATTCCGAGTGTCGGAGCTACTCTCGGATAGGTCTCGGACTCATCCGCCAGGGAGGGCAACCCCCCCGAAATTTGAGATACTCACAGCAACGTAGAGCCCTCACGAGGCACAAAATAATTCTCTCCAATCTCTACACTATCAAAGTGGCCCATCAAATTTCACTACTAAAAATATACAAAAGTTATTTCAACAGTTTTTGTAGAACAGATTTGAGGTTATCAATCTCAATAATAAGGCGTCCATTTTTATTTACCCGGGTGAGTCGTAGATTGAATGTGAATGGTACAATGTGATACACCACAATGGAGTATAGATCACACGGCCAATCTGAATGCTCTTGGGTGATTCACCGTGGGTAAAACACCTAACCATAGGTGAATTACTTGGTCATTGCGAATGCTTTGGTGTAAAGTTTACCGAAACGTTACATACCCTGTTATACGGAAGGCACCCGACAATCACACTGTTCAAGACTGATTGAACCCATGCGACAGCTCCAGAATAAATTCATCAAGGAGTTGAACATACATATACGAAATGACGTGAATCCTGACAGGAATTATTCATTTAGAGTCATCACTTTTTCATTCCGTTGATTCACGGCGGTCACCAGGAGAAGAGGAAGCTCCAGCTGTACTATGCTTNAGTTTTTGTAGAACAGATTTGAGGTTATCAATCTCAATAATAAGGCGTCCATTTTTATTTACCCGGATGAGTCGCCGATTGAATGTGCATGGTACAATGTGATACACCTCAACGGAGTATAGATCACACGGCCAATCAGAATGCTCTTGGGTGATTCACCGTGGGTAAAACATCTAACCATAGGTGAATTACTTGGTCATTGCGAATGCTTTGGTGTAAAGTTTACCGAAACGTTACATACCCTGTTATACGGAAGGCACCCCGCGCGGTAGTACAATCACATTGTTCAAGACTGATTGAACCCATGTGACAGCTCCAGAATAAATTCATCAAGGAGTTGAACATACATATACGAAATGACGTGAATCCTGACAGGAATTATTCATTTAGAGTCATCACTTTTTCATTCCGTTGATTCACGGCGGTCACCAGGAGAAGAGGAAGCTCCAGCTGTACTATGCTTGTGGTAGTGACCATCTCGAGGCTGTTCCAGGGTAAAATGTGATTAGAAACTCATCTCAAGGAAGCAAGGGTTCAGGAAGAAATACCAGCCCCACTATTTTATTTTANTGTGACAGCTCCAGAATAAATTCATCAAGGAGTTGAACCACCTGACCAGTATACATATACGAAATGACGTGAATCCTGAAAGGAATTATTCATTTAGAGTCATCACTTTTTCATTCCGTTGATTCACGGCGGTCACCAGGAGGAAAGGAAGCTCCAGCTGTATTAAGCTTGTGGTAGTGACCATCTCGAANATATATAAGGAAGATTTTTCAGGACGGTGAAACCGAGTGTGAAATAATACCGTGCAAACAACNAAGCAAGGGTTCAGGAAGAAATACCAGCCCCATTATTATTATTTTTTTTTCAAAAGCTTAGTACACGACACAAAAGGTCTCTACAGCTGGATGAAAAACCATAAGTTTCAGGAATATATAAGGAAGATTTTTCAGGACGGTGAAACCGAGTGTGAAATAATACCGTGCAAACAACGCAGTATGCACAGCGTGAAAATCATTTTCTGCCGAATTTGTTAGACTTTCAAAGATCGGTGGGTCGGGTGAAACATCTCCAAAAATAGTTTCGATAGAGAATTAATTTTCTTCCGTGATCATCTCTCGTAATATTCCGGAATTCTCAATCGCTTCCATAGTTTTCGACTCCCAGCAGCCGATCCTGGCTTCGTCCAGTTCGAAATCATTCATTGAACCTGCATCTCATTTCACCCAGTTTGCTTTATTTCTTTCCAATACCTCTGCGGTGAGAATATATGAACTTCAAGAAATATAAAATTTCAATTGATCTAGAAGCATATCCCTAGTATATTCCAATCCATGTCATTGAGGCACTCTTTCATTATTCTGAAAAACAATTTTTTTTATAAAATAAGCGTCCATATCGGAAGACGATCTATCTGATTTTAGGCATCGGATAAGCAACGGCACTTTCCCTCTGTGGGTTGATTGGCTGGTAATTTCCCTACTAATAAGATTCTGACACACAAAGATTGAATTCATTATTCGATTCATCATTTCTATTCTGAAAGCATATATTGGTGATTATAACTCGGAGGAATTCTTTGGTATTTTCAGTCACAGAATTCTATTCTTTGCATTTAGATCTTTTCATCATTTTTATAATATGATAGAAAGTGATGGCTTTTGATTTTTCTATCACTGTAGATCTGTTGATAGTTTTGTACATTTTTTAAAAGAAGGAAAGTCAGAGAAGAAAAAATACAGTGGAAAGAAACTTAGCAAATTCGTGGTCGGGAGTTTTTATAGATGAAATATCAACGGAATAGAAATATCGGTAGAATAAAAATAGCATATGTTACTTTTTTTAATACAATATTTTGATGAATATATCTATAAAATTTACTTGAACTAGCTATTGATTTTCAGGGGAAACCAATCGAAGAAAAATGGCATCTTTCTCTTCAATAGTATTTCACTAGAGTCTCGATGGAATTACCTAAAGGGCATGATTAAATTTTTTGAAGCAGCATCAGATCAACTAACTAATTAAGGAATGATTAAAAATTGTGCTACGATCTTGTAGTTGATTAGTTTCAACAGAAAGGGTTTTAATGGAAAATATTACGAGATATTTTTCCTCAATGAGAGAATTTTCATGAGAGAATGTTCAGGAGAACATTGAGCATTTATTCTTAATCGCTGGTACAAAGTAATTAAATTTGTAAACAATAGATCACTATAGTTGGTGGATCATTATCAGTTAAAAAAATGAACGGATGAATTTGGTGTTGGGCCACCTTTGACCGCCACAGGATTCTACACATAAATTCATGTTGAATTTTTCAAAAAGATGCATCCCTCCCGCTGGCTGCAGGTGAAATTTTTGATTATATATAATTAATTGATTTTTACCACCAAAAAGCTAAAAGTAGACTACCTTTGACCACCTTCGAACCACCAAGCGATTGCAATAATTCAAATTTGCATTCCCCCCTACACTCCGCTAGCTCTAAGTAGCTCGAAAACGGCGGGTATCTCGAACTGAATAGAGAAAGTAAGGCAGTTTTCATGAGTACAATCGTCTTGCGTCCAATTTTCATGAAACCCGCCTACCAAACAAAAGAGAATTGAATACCATTCCATGAAACATGAATAAAGGACTCATAATTGTCCAAATCATTCAGGTCAGGGGAAAATAGAGTAATTCTCCTTTCTTAACCCAATAATCAAAGGTACCTATCGATATTAACGTTAATACGTTCCGCAAGATACTTATCACGGAAACCTTCCATGAACAATGGTCGCATCATGAGGGAATCTCCGCTAAACCATACGCAACTCATAGGGCGCCACTGTAGAGCGAGTGAGATGCTAGAAAAGCGCGTAACGACGATTAAACTCGTATTCGGTGAGCATAGCAATTAGAGCATGAACATATCATTTATTGTAATATAAAAATTCTAGTTGATAAATTGGACCATGATTCGCATCGATCGTAATACTTTTTGCAATGAGAATGATTATAAATAATTCATTGAAAAAAGGAATATCGAATCTGGCAGGAAAAAGGGTGTAATGGAAGGGCGTCAACACTACTATAAAATGTTTAAGCAATATTCTCCCGAATTCTTTTCGCTATCCACGAGTTATGGAGAACAGGTGAATAGAGAAATTGGGGAAAACTGAGCTCCATACAAGTTCTCTATTGTAGGGAATGCAAACATTTTCGTACATAAGAATGGATGAAAACATTCACAATTGAGTCATTTATTTATGAAATCGTTTACAAAGCGCACGAATTTACTAAAATTTCACACAATATTTCTTTCATCAAACTTACCACCTAGGGATTTCAATATTCATGGCGACTCAGCAAATATCATCACTTAAACTCTAAAGTTGTATCATCATTACATATGAATTGTTACAAAAGAATGTATCACTCCACGTTATACATAGGTTTACATGAATATGTACATGAATCATCATTATCTCATGTTCTCATTATGACGATGATTACCAATGATTAAGTAATTTTTCACGAGACTAATAAAATAAGAAAGAAAAATCTTATGAGTAACAATACTTTGCTTTTAATGAGGTTTAACGTTCGAAAATAGTCCATCATGTGTAATAATAATACGAAATGAATTTGATGAATCGTCGTTGACTGTAGACTTGTACGTTGTACGTTTGGCACTGGACAGAGGGGAATTTCTGCTTTTTCCGTGCTCTAATGTAAGAATTCATTATTACTTGCAGACTAGCAAAATTTCAATGGAAAATTCGTTTCTGGTCTCGTAATACTCTTACAACGTAATCTCCTTCGGTAATACCTTTCTTCAGTGAAGTGGCAAAACAAGAACAAATTCAGAAATTTCATATCGATTATCTCGTATATATCTCGAGGAAAGGGTGAGGCAGAATGAAAACTCTTGACTTTTTTTTTAATGTTCATAATTGTTCAAACAAAATGTAATTTTAAAAAATTTTTAAAAAAATCTTAACATTTTGAAATAGCGTCTTTAATTAATAGTGAGGAATGAGTTCAACAAGGGTGATATGAATAATGTATAATTACTGTGGCAAGTAGTGGCCTATCCGTCGCCACCATGGAGGAGGAACGAGGAAATAATAAATCCTTTGGCACAGCGCCACCCGACGATTGTACAAGCTCTAGGAAAATTTTTGTAATATTTTCAAGAATTTTTTTATCACACTTGTACAATGAACTCCTAATCACTAACACCAATCTCTTCAATTAAAAACTGTACTTTCCACCAACTATCACGTTGGTCGGGAGCGCAAAAAAAGGAAGAAAGAGCGATTTTCCTGTTTTCAGTTCCTGACAAAAATGACAGCTGATCACCAGTACAACTATCAATGGAGGAAAGTGGCGTAAGCGATTAATAATTCATCGTAAAAGTATGATAAAAAAATTCCTAAGAATATTACAAATTCTTTCAAAAAGTCTTTTTTCGTATAATCGTCTTGTTGTGCTGTACCAGAGGATTTATTATTTCGTCGTTCCTCCCCCATGGTAGCGACTGACAGGCGCCGCCATTTGCCACGAATATAAATTAACGAATATTATTCATATTTCCTCTATGGAAATCCAAAAATCTCAATATTAGTTAAAAACGCTCTTCCAAAATATGGAGATTTTTTTTTACATTTTTTTTTCAATCTAAAAACAGAATTTTCGGGTGTCCTTGAGTGACAGCGCATCGAGTTGAAATTTCGAGATAGAAATCGACCAAAAATAAATAAATTTAGATAACGTTCGGCAGACAATGGAGCCGGCCCCCAAGCTCAGTTTAGGCTCCTGACAAAGGGAAAAAATTGTACTTTCCATGGAGAAAAGATTTTTCTAATAATTCAATAAGAATATATTATCATTTCAACGAAAGTCAACTGTGTTAATTTTGCCCACACTGGCCTCTAAAACAAGTGGATTGATCGTAAAATTTTTAGAAGCCTTTTTTGAAGGAATTTATTTTCTCCACGAAAGGGCTCTCGATATTTCCTCTGCTAAACCTCCTTCTATAAAACAAACCGACGAATCTACAAACATTTTCCAGATGTTGTAAAAACCCTTTAGCCTATGTCTCAAAAAGTATAGGGTGTCTTGAAAAATGTCAAGAAGTCCTTTCTAAATCATGAAATCTCATACAGGAATATCTGGAAAATTTTCCTGAAGTGACTTAGTACGAATAAATTCATGAAACGATACGGTAATCTTTAACATATTCCTTATTTAACCACTTCACGACTCATTTCTATGTGTATTTCGAGAATTTTTCAAGTCCAATCAAACTCGTTGTTCCCCAAGGTTAGCCAATTTATCACTTGGTTCATCACTCTGCAACAAAAACCCAAAATAATTCCATTAAAATCATATGAAAACAGTATCTCAAGTTGAGTTATCAATGGAAAAACGACCTTTTACTTTTTATGAAGTTGGAAAAATGTCTCACCTAAAGCGAAAAGGTCGTATATCCAATTTTATATTTTGTTTGCACTTTGATATTTCCATTTTTTTTGAAAAAGTTTCATTAAATTTCACTCATTTCTCATTACAGAAATTAGAATATCCTTCTGTTCATTGAGAGAATGACGAATGTAATTCCTTTATGCGGAAAATATAGGAAGACACGAGGAATAGGGTAATCGCAGGAGAAGAGTTGGCGGAAGAATTTAAAACGAGAAAGGGAGTGAGGCAAGGTGGACCACGGCTGAGTCCTATCCTGTTTAACAGCTTCATACAGGATATGGTGGAGGACCTAGAAAGGAGGGGCGAGGGGGGCACACTGATTAGCCAAGGAGGGAAGGTGAAAGTATTTGCACTAATGTATGCAGATGATGCAGCAATAGTTGCAGAAGAGGCGTCGGATTTACAAAAGATGCTGAAGACATTGGAAAGACGGGCAGATAGGAATCTAATGGTGGTGAGCANCAATTGTTAATTATAGTATTAAATAATCGTTTAAAATCAATCTCAATAAAGATTTATTAATTGCTAATTATCGCGAGTGATATTCCCTACAACTGAACCCATCCGCTCGGGTCCATAACAGGCAGATAGGAATCTAATGGTGGTGAGCATAGAAAAAACCAAAATAATGATATTCAGGAAGGGAGGAAAGAGGAAACGAGAAGAATGGAAATACAAAGGGGAAAAGCTGGAAGTAGTAGGAGAATTTAAGTATCTGGGCTACTGGTTCACAACCGGAAACTCGTATGCAAAACACGAGGAAATTGGCGGGGAAAGCACAATCGATGGTGAATAAAACTTGGGGGGAAATGACGAGGGCGAAGCTGAAGAACCTGAGGAGGAGGCTATACTTCATGGGGGTGACGGTGAAGGCTGCGGCACTATACGGAGTAGAGCTATGGGGGTGAAAAAGGCAGGAGAATGTAGAGAGGGTGCAGAAAAAATACATAAAGGCCAGCATGGGGTTGGCAAGAAACACACCGGACTATATTTGGAGAATGGAGGCAGGAACTTGCAGGGTGGAAGTGGAGACAGTGAGGAGAGCGACAGGGTTCTTGATCAAACTGAGCAAGATGGACGAGAGTAGATGGGCAAGGAAGTGCTTGAGGGAGGAACTGAGAGGAATAAAAAATGGACAGGCTACGAACTGGGGAAAGGAAGTGCAGAGGAAGCTGCGATCGCTAGGAGACGGGGTATTTCTGGAACTACTGTGGGAAGGGAGAGAGGCAGAGGCGGAGGAAAGACTCCTGGAGATGTTGAAAATCTTAGAGGACCAGGAAAAGCAGGAAGATTGGGAAAGGATTGAAAGGTCGAGATACTGCGACTACTATAGAGAGGTGAAGGAGGACACAACGATGAGCGAGTATTGGGGGGATAGGAGGCTAGGGATAGAGCAGAAGATGTCATGGGCAAGGTGGAGATGCGAAAACGTGCTGAGGGGAGGAAAGAGCGGCTTTGAAAACGATAAATGCAGGGCATGCGGAAAAAAGGCAGAAAGACTGGAACATGTGATAGGCTGCAAGGAATTAATGAGGAGATTAAGAGAGGAGGATAGGAGCTGGTGAAGAAAATGGAGAAGGAAGTATGGCAGGATCAACTGGAGGGAGAGGTTTCTGATGGAGTTGAGAGAGAAACCTGGAAAGAAAGGGTGCGAGAGATTAGCAAGGATCGAGAAGGCGCTGAAAGAAGCAGAGGAAGAAACCAAAGAGAGGGCAAGGAGGGACAGGAGTAGCTGAGAAGACAACAGTGTAGGAAGAAGGGGGGACAGTGTAAAAAAAATGAGAAAAGCAACAAATAAGTGAGGACTAACAGTGATACTAAATATTGACTAATATAAAGCAGAATTAAGATGAAGGATAACAGGAAAATGAACAGAGAAAAATTTTATATAATTTTATATAACGGATGTTAACAAATATTAAGGAAAGGAGGACTACATAGGTGTAAAACAAAGAAAAACATTTGTAACACCAAAGAGATGAATAAATAAATAAAAATAATTCCTTTATGCGTTGAATGATCATGCGCCCATGAATTAGCGATTCTTAATCATCATCACTTGAAGAAGTTTCAAATTCCCTCGAAACATGGTTCAGTATATCATAGAGAGAAAAAATGAATTCGCTTTAGAAGAAAAGTTTCTAAATTTTAGAAAACGCGGTTTCTAAGCTTCAGTTTTCTCAAATCTAGAAACTTTTTTCCAAGTTTTAGAAAAAAATCGTTTAAAATTAATGATTAAAATAGAGATTAATTTTAAACCAAATATACTTAATTTTAGAAAAAATATTTTCTAAAATCTAGAAAATTTCCTTAATTTTTGAGGGGGAATTTTGCAAAGAGGGTTAGGAGGGGGGTTGTGAATTGAGAATTCACGACCACAAAAATTGAGTCAGTGAGTTTTTCAGAAATATTTTCGAAACTAAGGCAGATAGCGAATTTTTACTGAAAATTTGCGGAGGAGGGAAGTCTGACTGAATTCTTGATGTACAAACCCCCCCCCCCCAATTTTTCAGTAAAAATTCGCCATCTCGTTTAGGCTTGGAGATATCTTTGAAAAACTCACCGACTCAATTTTTTTGGTTGTGAATTCTCAATTCACAACCCTACCCCCCTCCCCCTCTTTGCAAAATCCCCCCTCCATGCATTTGAAATTCCTGATATTGGGGCACCCCTCCCTATGTATGTGGAAACTTACGCCCTTTAAATACCTCGGCCGCAATTTTTTAGTTCAATCTGAAAATTTTCTAAAATTAAGAATTTAGCATTGATTTTAGAAAATATTTGTTCTGAAAAACAATCCCCAAATTCATTAGTTTATATGATCCCATCAAGGATAAAGCATAAGAATTGGAATTTCTAAAATCGAGAAACCAGTGTCTAAAGGTAATCCCCTTTTTTTCTCTGTGCTGTACCTGCCTCCCTTATTTGACCCTCCAGAGTACACGGGATTCTTCCGATCACGGCCCTGTTGGACCCTTAAGAATAAAGATCGCTTCAGTTCCCTAATTGAAATGGTTTTTTGGAGGTACGTTCTTTGTTACGAATGCGTAATACACAAGCGTATCTTGAAAGAGGTATATAAGGGATGATTAGTGGACACAAAATATTTGCAAGATACAAATGGTTTGAGAGTTTTTAGAATGTTTCGATATATACGAATCTGGATTAAAAATGGAGATACGCTGTTCACACAAATTATGTTATTAAGTTGCCGATGCAATTATTCGACCATAATCAAAGACACCGATAACTTCTAGTTACATCAACTGGAATATTGAAGGTATAACCTGTCCACGGGAAGGGAAATTGAAAAATGCCAAATTTTGTCTTTACGACCTTTTGCCTTTAGGTCAGTCTCGATTTCTGAGGACAGACATTAAGGATGTTCTACACCCTTTCTGCCAAAATTCACGTTTTTTTAATTTTTCTGGCAAACTTATGATGGAATTGACGTGAAAAAATATAACGTTTTTGCGTTTTGTCATTATTTAATGACTGACGAAATTTTAAGGTGGTGCGAACATTTTCCTGCGTTTTCTCTAAACTTTTAAAAAGAATCACAAAACTGTAGAAAAAACGCATGAAAATTATCGCACCACTACGCAACTTCGTGAGCCATTAAAGAATGACAAACCACAAAATCGTTATATTTTTTCACGTCACTCCCATCGGTAATTTGCCAGAAAAATGAAAACAATGTCAATTTTGGCTAAAAGGGTGTCGAACATCCTTAAAGGCAAAAGGTCGTACATGGTAAAAAAAAATGAAAAATTTTGGATTACGACCTTTTGCTTTCAGGAAATTTTTCATTTCTGGGGATATAAGTTAAAGGCAAAAGGTCGTATATGCAGCTCATGATCAATTTGAAAATGTGGGTATTATAATAAGTTTCTCCAGTCTTTTCACGTAAAATTGCAGAAAAAATGAATGGAGATACGACCTTCTCGCTTTAAGAAACTCGGAAAGTAGCTTTTTGGCGTTTACAACCTTTTGCATTTAGATACGCGAAATGCTTGATTTCTTCAGACAATAGTTTTGAATATTCTAATGACTATCTAGTTCAAATAATATTTTACCCAACTCTATCAATTATTGACATTTCCCTTGAATTTCCTTCTCAATGGAAGTAAATTCGCAAAAATTAAAGTAAGAGATACGCATAAAGGGCTTTTACCTCTAAGAAATCCTTGAGCAAAGTCTGTCGACGTTTCTCAGCAATATCCATCTGATTCTCGAGATCTCCACGATCCGTAGTCTCTGCTCTCTCAACTTTCCACGACAAATTTTCAATCTCTGCTTCAAGCTGTGCCTGTTGGTACTCGAAAAGTGCCTTTCTGGGTCCAGATTCCATATAATACGCGTAAGGATAAGTGTACTGGAGGGTATAACGACAACGTGCAAGTAGTGAAGCAGCCTCAAAAAGATGCTGCCAGTCGATCCAAGTGCCACTGGCATCCATGACCTTTTGATTAATCCTTGACTTTATCTTCTCCAGGGTTTGCTCCTCCAGTTTCAGCGACTTGCTGTGATTTTCCCACTGAAATAGAGAATCAAACGGATAAAGTTCAGGGAACATCGAGAGAAAATTTTGGGAAGATGATCAGAAACTCGCGAGTACGCAAAAATTGAATAGCCGTACCCTCTCGTAATAGTGGAGATACTTCTTAAGTGCCTCCCGTGCCTGCGCATGAACACTCTCATTACCAATGTTTGGGTTATCCTTGTAACGCGAACATTCGTAATACTCGCTACCATGTGCTTTCCAATCATTGAGACACATCCAGCAGAATTCAGCTTTGCAGCCGTAACACTGCATGTGATTACAGCCACCATTTTTCTCTATACAAATGTGACATTTTGGACAATCTTTGGTATGTGCACTTATGTAATTTGATGTCTCTGAATCGTCAGCACATTTTGTCATCCATTTCTTGATTGTATTGCAGTCGGTTGGTGCGTGATAATCTGTACCACAACGCAGGCTAAAATCAAATATTGAAAATTAATATATGAATGTAATTAATCGAAGAGGCGATTGGTTCGTTAGTGCTAATTACTTAGGGAAAAATGTCACATTGTTAGAAATCTATTAAAAGTTTATATAGAAAATCGAGGAAATTTGAATCTTTCATTTTCAAGATTTTTTCATTGTTTTCAAACATTTCATCAGCAGATCAAATAAAAAGGGAAGTTTCAATCAAACTTTAACGTAGTTGACTAATTTTTTGCTTCCGAATGGAAACTTTGTTTTTGGTCGATTTTTCGATTTTCTAATTTTGAAGAACTGATGTTTTTAGGGTCATGTCTGTATGTATGCAGGTTTGGATTTTTGGTGACTAATTTTTAGAAAATTTAACATCAATACGCTGAAATTTTTAGATACAAATTTGAAATTTTGGCTCATGGTCGCTATAAATGAGCTCTACTTTGGTGTGTTATTTCAGCCCGACCGGTCCAGTAGTTCCTGAGATATAGCAACTTGTTTAAATATCGTTTTTCCTCAATATCTCAACAACTGCACCGATTTCAATTTTTTGTAATCAATTTTAGTAATCTATTACCTAGATCAATCGCATCATATATACCGATTCATACAAAGTTTGGAGATATTGACGTTTTTCCGGTTTTTCATTAAAAATCTTGTGCGCACGATAACTCAAGAAAAAATGGAGATAGCGACTTGAAATTTGGTATGCTCCTAGCTTTTATAGTATGAAAGGTTCGTATTTTGGATGGACGCAATCGGTCAAGTGGTTCTGGAGATATTCAAGTCTTTGTATAAATTTATTTCTTCAAATATCTCATGAACTACTCGACGGATTTTAATTTTATTTTTCAAAATACTCGTCCCGGCGGCCACTATTTAGATCAATCAAAATATGTATACCCGTTCATACAAAATTTCCAAGATATTCCCATTTTTCTTTTTTTTTTTCATTCTTGTGCACACGATAACTTGAGACAAAAAGAAGAAAGTTGAAATTTGATATGATTATATCTCTCATAATATTAACGTCCATATTTTGAATGGGCGTAATCGGCCCAGTGGTTTGGAAGATATTAATTTTGTTGTCTAAAACCGTTTTATCAAAAGATTAAATATCTTCTCCTAAACACCTTACAGAGTGTGGATGCCTATCCCATGGACTGGGGATGACCGAAAAAATAAACCGAAAAAAAAACTGCTTTGTGCATATTTTATAAGAAAATGAGATATTAGTTGAAAATCATCCAGATAATCAGCAATACCAGATTTATAAAATTATTAATAGGCCAACTCATCAAGCAATCTCGAATCCAGCAATCTAATATCTAATTTTCAAAGTTAAATTTCTACAATATCAATTGTTAGTTAATAATTTCCACATAGAAATAGAATTAATGTCGTTGCGTATGTATGCCAGTCTTAGGAACAGGGAAGCGCACGGATCCATTCGGAAGCTTACTACCAATGGAATTGGTAGAAATAAAAGGAAGAATAAGACTAATGAAACAAAATTAACGGTCGCATGCCTTCTGTCGAATAGGCTTGAACCCCTGCGTATTTAACGAAGATTCCACATTAATTTGTTGTTAAATTTTCTGAGAATTTTTACTGGAAATTTTAGGTGAAATTTTGTCAGTGCAAGAGGCCCTTCTGTATCTGATGAAATATAAAAATAGAAAGATGTCTCGAAATTTAGAACAATTATGACTATTCATCAGAATGATTTCATGTAGATTGGAGTTCAGTAATTGTACTTCATCATGTTTTGGATTGAATTAGAATTACCAGAAAACAGTTTTGCAGGTTTGACATTGTACGCGTTTAGCTCGAAGCTCCTTCGATCTCATGACAATCTGGCAATTTGGACCTGGGCAGAATCGTAGCTGCGGATGGGTCTTTACGTAATCGCGAAATGCAAAGTGCTGGTACTTGTCTCTCATCGAGGGTTTCGTGAGGAGCTGGAGAACAAAGTCTTCTGGTACTAGAACGTCACAATTTTGAGCCATACATCCGATATCTAGAAACAGAGGTATCGTTAGAACTTTGAGACTTTTTTCTACATGAGAATAGAAATATTGACGATCAATAGAACCATTTTCCATCAACTTTTTTCTTACTCAAGAAGAGCATTTCTTTACGAGGTCTCATTTCACTGGAAATACTCCTAATTTAGATCGAAAATATTTTTTTGTTCAATGTGGAAGATATAGTTCTGTTGTTTGAATATGTCAATGATGAAAAATTAGTAATAAGGGAGATCAGCTCAAACGTTTTGCCATGTCTATTGGTATTTTTTGCACAAACCGCGACTTCTAAGGATGTTTACAAAGTAATTTTCAAATCCTTGTTGAAATCATCTAAATTTTCATACAATTCATTTTGCAAGTATTGGATATAAAATAATTTACTGCAGTCTTACAAAAATTCGAGTACTTTGGGCATTTTTTTTGTGAAATCCTTCTCCACGTGTTAGTTCATTTTCAATTCAACATCAAGATTTTCATTTCAGCCTTCTTTGAGCATATAATTGTCCAGATATTTTAGGAACTAAATTTGATTCTTCAATTTAAACCCTTAGGAAACATTTGGGGTATTCCATGTCAGTCCGACCAGTTTAAACCCTGACCATCTCAGATTCATTTCATAAATTTTTAAATAATTCTACTGGATGGAAAACTCACCCCGATTCTTCTTCAGTTTTCGCATTAATCTGTTAATTTTTTATTATTTGTTTGGAGTGGATTAACAAAAGCGCCATTTTAAAGATCTGAAAAAATTCACAAAAATTTGATACTACGAAAAAGTAGTTTCACTCCATTTTTCAGAGGGGAAATAGAAATCATAGTCCATACGCTAGCCCTGTTTCTGTATGTACTACAAAAAAAAAAGAACTTTCGTCATTGTGATTTATGTTTTCGATGATGGTGAATTCCATTCTGAAATCAGTTTTTGCAAGTTGTGGCCGAGTCTATTTATTTATATGAATTTACTAATTTAAGCGATCACATCAGGGAAACGCTTGCAGATAGGGAAACAAAGTTTGAAAGAAAATATGTTTGTCATGTAAAAATACACACTTTTTGCTTTATAATTTTTTCCCCTATCTATGATAAATAATGTTATCAGGGGTGCGAGCGAAGTGGTCAGTGCGTGAACACTTGCACAAGGTGTCGGCGCGCTCTGATGCGTTTATCGGCAATCTCGACGAGAATAGAGAAAAATAGCTAAAACGAAAATATTCACCATTGAATTTTACATATGATTTACTTCAAAAATCGGAACAAATAATGAATCGCTGATGGTTGATTTGGACATGAATATACTTCATCCTCAATGAAATATTTAAAAGAATAAAAAAAACTTCAGTCATTCAATCTTCTCCATTTTTTTTTCAAATACTTGATTGGGTATTTTCTTCAGAACGGAAAAACCATTTGACTTTCAAACGACTGGATTTTTTGTGTTCCTTGAATCGGTTTGCCCCGCTCGTTAGAAATTTTTTTGCTTGTTCATAACTTTTTTGAGAGCAATACTTGACAGTGACATTTGGTAGGTGATGGTGTTGAGAAAAAAAATTGAGGACATCATGCAGCACTAAAACATTGATATCTTATTAACGCTTAGGTGTAGGAAAAAATGTCAGAATATCAATAATGTAATAAATTTAATCACTAATGTTTTTCAATCAAATCATTTTCCTCTATCTCGATTCAGTTTATCCATAACCGGTTTGGATCGCGCTGATACCTCGCGCAAGTGTTAACGCGCTGCACGCTTCGCTCCCAATCCTAATAACTCCTTATCTAGCATAGTTAGGGAAAAAAATTATGAGGCAAAAAATGGGTATTTTTACATGGCAAATATTTTTTGTTTCAAACTTTTTTCGCTATCTTGGACACATACGGCCACGACATGCAAAAGCGGTAAAAGTAAAATTGCTGTTTTTGTAATACATACAGAAACAGGGCCAGCGTAGGGACTACTATTTCTATTTCTACTCGAAAAAGTGGCTTGAAACAACTTTTTGGTACTATCAAATTTTTATGCATTTTTTCAGATCTTTAAAATGGGGCTTCTGTTAATCCACTCCAGAAATTTGTAACAAATTAATGGATTAATTTTAAAAATCTCAAAGAGAATCTTTTTTTTTATTGATATACAGTAACCCTTTCTGGCTTATTTACAAAAGCTTGTAAACAAATTTTTTGCAATTTGAGAATAGTTAGCATTTGGTTGTCTGTAATTATATTCGATTCTAAATTCACATGTTTTTATGAATTCATGGATTGTTTTGAGAGGTTCCAGGTTTGTTGACACCAGGAGCGCATTTATGGTGTATACGGGCTTTGGTATTTGAGTTTAATTGACTGGGATATCATCAGATCCCTTTCGCTACTGGGATACTGGGGGTAAAAAAAAATCAGGGTGAGTTTTTCATCGAGTCATTTAAAAAATTATTAAATGGATCTGAAATGGTCAAGACTGGTCGAATTGACAGGGAATGCCCCCTTTGTAATAATTGAAAAAAAATTAGAGAGTCGGCTCTTGGAAAAAGATTTATAAGATAATTGAAAAGTTACCATTCGAAGTGGTAAAGGCGTCGCTTGACTGGATGAACGGACCCGTATGGTGTGGGTTCGAGTCCACATTCAAGCGATATTACTTTTAAGGATAATATGGTTAGCGGGCAAAACTCATTTATTTTACACATAGTATTCAATACCATCTTTAAAACGGTTTGGTAGTGATTGGTATATCCTGAGAATTCGAATATCTTCAAATGTGCTATGTACTACTTGAGTGCATTATTCCTATGGCCCTTTCTTATTACATCCATCAGCATAATAATTTCTAATGGATATGAGCTGTTCCTTTATTAACTCCGTTGCACCTTTTTACGACAATAAAATAAAAATTCGTGTAAGTACCCCTTCACTGTGAAGATATCAACTACTCTCAATGAGGTGACTAACTTTTTAAAGGAACCATCAGGTGTTGGTGAAGAATTTAATCCTCACCAACTCTTGGCGTGACCCAGGACTCACGACGAGGACGTGGTTGATGAAGAGTCTCAAAAAGAAAATATCGAAAAAATTTATTAATTACGTATATTCGAATGTGACCCCTCAAGCACGGCGTCCATGCCACATATGGATCCGAGAACTTGTCCTATCGGCCGGCGTCCATGCGTCATATGGTCCCTTCCGTGATTAATAAAAATTGATTATCTTTCATACTATTATACATATAGAAGTTTTCAAAAAATTTCCCCACGAAATAGATAAAATGATCAACGTAATTCGACTCGATTTTGTTTTTCAAGTTATTTTTAACATTTTTTTTCTACACATAAACATTACAAAACTGAAGTCGATGGCTTATTTAAGTCTCTTGTTTATCGAGATAATTTCTATAAAAAATTCTGAAATTTTTACCGAACACACTCTATGCATAACTTTGTCGAATGGCGCGAACGAAATTTCGATTCAGTGAATTACTGATTTATTATCAACACATTATCGATAATTACAGATCTTGGTAACTGTTTGTACTATCGAACTGAGATTGGTCTTCAACATTCCAGAAAAATATGTCTAAAGGAATACCATAATTGAACAACTTTTTAATGAAAGCTCAAGATTATCATTAAATTTTAGTTCATAATTTTTCGATCATCACTATAGAAGTTGTCGCGTATTGAACAGCGAATTCGAGTGGATGGGAGACCGTCGGCCCATGAGGACACACCGCGCGATATGAGCGCCGTATTTGAGGGGTTAATCAATGGCCTTTTAGTGTTGGGGTACCATTGGCCACCAAACGATTTGCAATTATTTTCTGCTTTCAGAGTTAAATTATGTTTATATTTCCCCGCTAGCTTGACTTTGCATGACTTTTAATAACGCGGAAACGGGTGAAGGAGAATCATCGAGGTTGAATGTTTGGCAAACATTCTCCGATGGTACCCGATCGATGAACATTCATGTCGGTCAGGGTTGTTCATGGCTTCCCTTGGTCACCAGGAGAGCCTGCACACGGAGTGCAGTTCCTGGGGTGAATGCGATGTGGCTGAGGGGAAAAGTTGGTCCATGGAGTCGCAAAGGGATGGGGGTCTGATGGCACTGATTGTGAGACAAAAAAGGTTTTTTGAGAAGTACGTCTTTATTTGTATCAACAAATTTATGCCTCAAAAATTCACAAGATTGACATATTTTGCAGTGAGAAAAACAAACTTGCGTGAAGAGATCTTGTGCTTATTCGAAAGATGAGGGGCAATTGATTCCCAAGGAGAAAGTGGCTGCTGGGTTTTGCATTAAAATATTTTTAATTTGAAACTAAATACCTATTGGATATATTGATTCAATGAGACCTGGTTTGAGAAAACACTTTTTTCATCATAAACAAATTATCTTGGTCCTTGGGACAAGTACAAAATCTCTTGACGAATGTTATTTTCTCAGTGTAAGATATTGTTCTTCTTGTTAATTTCTGAGCCATGAGTTTCTTCACTGGGAATTGAAGTGAAGACGTACGTCTCAAAAAACTTTTATTTTCTCAGTGTATATGAGGTATTGTACGCCAAATGTGTCAACCGTTGACCCTCACCCTCTTGTAAATTCATGGCGATTTTTTCCACGATTGAGGGGATTAAAAAACTATCTCTCAAATTTTTTCAAATTTTTTCGGCAGCCCAGGGTGAAGATATGATTTTTTTCTCGTTTTTCTGGTTTTCTTTCAATAACTCGACTTCTATCCATCTGATTTTTATTTATTAAGAGTCAAAATTTTTCATTTTTTACTGCCTATAAGAATATTTTTAGCAAAAAATGTTTTTCGATTTTTAGATATTCATAATAACGAATTTTCGAAAAAAAGTTGAAAAAGTTGATTTTTGCAAATTATGTAACTTTTGATTCGTTTCTTTTTTTTTCAGTAATTCTTATAATCAAAACAAGTATTTTAAGCCATCATACAAGTTGGGGATCCTCCTGAATCTATTTTATTTTCAATTTTTTCTTTTTGAAATTCCGCAAATTTGGTGAAAACATCCCAAAATGGCATTGACTTTGAAATTACTGAAAAAAAAGAAACAAATCAAAAGTGACATAATTTGTAAAATTCAACTTTTTCAACTTTCTTTTTCGAAAATTCATTATTATGAGCATCTAGGAATTGAAAAAAAAAATTACTGGAAATACTCGTATAATACTCTGAATGAACAATGTCAATTGTAAGAGGTCCTTGGATATCCTTAATCAGCAATATCATAATTTTGTTTATACCTGTTGAGATTCCTTGGGAAATCTGCACTTCAAAATGCATACACCAACAATCTTTGCAGAAGGAATGGCCGCAGGTGAGCGTAGCAAACTTATCAGGATTGAAAAGTGCCATGCAAACAGTACAGGTGCCCCCCTTGCGGCTCTTCAACGCAGATGTTTGATCGGGTGGCTGGCTTGGTTTTATCTTTGAATTAATTAATAGGCTGGAAGCATTGTCTCTGTACTTATTCATAACCTCCTGGAGAGCCCAGTCATGGGTGTGTAGAAGTACTTTGGCAAGCGATGGCGTTATGTGAAGGCTGTTGCTCAGTACTTCGACATTCTCATTCAATAATCTCTCAACTTCCTCCACCCGAAGGCAATCGTGAATTGCGTATTCGGGGTCTCTTCGAGTTTGATCAGCCTTCTCAGCATCATTGTCAGCGTCGCCCCAGGGTTGACAATTGTAGTAGTCCTCGTAGCCTGTATCACTGCCGTCGGAGTCTGAGTACTCCATATCACTCTCTGCTTTTTCAACAGACATCTGAGAATGAATATTCATGTATTAAGTGATTGAAAGAATTTTGTTAAAAATATCATTACCCTAAAGTACAAAGATCCCAAAATCAGAGAGAATGTCAAAATTGGACGATTGCAATGCTTCCATGTGGGGCAAAAATGATGATGCATATTTTTGCTTCTTAATAGAAGCACTGTAATTGTCCAATGACATGCTCTAATTTTGATTGGAAATGATGTAGAATGTCTGAACCGTGAAATTTGGAAGGCAGGTATAATAATCAAAACCACGAGTGAAAAAGTTTTCGGTTTCCATAACCAAGATATTGAATTTAATAAACTTGTGGAAAGCATCATATTGAGAATAAAAAAGCAGGTCACGCAATTTCAGTAAAACATCCTTAAAATTCAGTACCAAAAAAACCGTCATTTCCAGTTAGAAAAGTTTTAAATGAAGTACCGTTGAGTTTGTAAATTAAGAACCATTGGATGTTTAAGGGAATATACTACCAAATTTCAAAATTTCTGGAATTGACAAGTGAACTTCATTGGATCTTTTATGAAAAATGCATCCTCACTTGTTGGTATCAGTACTCTAAACATTGTGTTCAATTTCCACCAACTGCGACTCACATCGATCTTTTTGAAAATCGAAAATAGTTTTTTTGTCATTCCGGCCGTGAGGCAGCGCTTCACGGACGCTCCGCTCCGCTCCGCGTCCGTGAATCTCTGCCTACGGCCGTCATAACAAAAAATACTGTTCGTCATATGGCCAAAAAAAACTTTTCTAGCTCATATGATTGCAGCCCTTGCCTTCGGCTCGGGCTGCAAACTCATATTCGCCAGAAAAGTTTCTTTCGGCCTAGTGACGAAATATACTATTTATGTCGTTCGGCCCGAAAAAACCGCGATTCTAACCTCACTTCGCTCGGTTAGATCGCGGTTTTCGGGCCCAACGACATAAAATATCGTATGCACACGGCGATAAAAGCATTATCTGGCGAATGTGGCATTATAATCTGAGCCGAAGGCGATACTTTTATCGCCTGGTGACATAATATACTATTACAGTTTTTTTCAATACCCGCTCCGCAGTGGGTGAAAGTCCCCTCAAAAAATGCAAAAATTGGGGCCATTGAAATATTACGTCACGTGATTAAGCAGGGGAGGGGTTTTTAATTTAAGGACCCAAGGTTCTTGATTTTAGTACCCAACAGTTCTTATTATAAGAACTCAAAGTATTGGGTTCCAGAACCAAATACCTTTAAATGAGAGAAAATGTACCTTGAACCAAGTACCATGGGTATTTTATTTCAGTAAACATTATTGAGAACTAGAATTTTTTTCTCTAATTTTTAGAGAAAATTCTCTTAGAATAAGTGAAAATTCGACTTGGTCGGCATAATCTAGTTACGTAGGCAGGTGTCACGCTGACAATACCGTATGTCCAAATATTCAACAATAACGCAATTGACCAAATCTGGGGCATAACATTTATGTGTTTTTTAGTGCTCAAATTAAAAAAATTGTTCATCCGACCCTTACGGAGTCAGTGATGCGGGTTGCAAAATAAGGGATGATTTAAAAAAAAAACGTTAGGCCATAATTATGTGCTTTTTACGTGCTTCCGGTTAGCGAGAGAGTGGAGGCGAGAGGAGGGCTCATATGACAGAAATGACCTTTCTAGGGGAAAATGTATCTTAGGGGCTGAGAAACCAGGATTGCTGATAATGGCTTTATACATTAAGCCATAATTATGTGTTTTTTATGCGCTTCAAGAAAATGTGGGAGAGAAAGGAGAAGGGCCCCTATGGGGAAAACCACCGATCTATGGGAAAATTCAATTTGGAGGTGAGTAAAATAAGATTGGTGATTATAGCTTAGAAGGCTAGAATTGTGTTTTTTATGTGCTTCATAATAATTGATGAGAAATCGTCGAAAAGATGAAAGCTATTGAGAAAATCAACTCTAAGGTACGATTGAGGTGTCCAATGAAAAATCCCGTAGAGTAGTAATTTTTTTCATTTTATATTCATCATGTCATGCAAAAAAATATGTTTTCGAACGTCGGAAATATTCGTACTCTATCCGGCGACTGGCTATCGCCCCCAAGTCGACCGGAAGTGCTTGAAAAGTATATCACATGACTCGAATGGACTCAACATGATTAAGCGTGATTTGCTGTACAATAATCAAGGTCAATCAATTCGTGCCTGAGTTTTCTCCATTGTAGATGAATCAGGTACAGTGATGACTGTCAACAACTGGGCCGGGGTCATCTTTTTTTTTTTGAGTCATTATTGTGTATGAAAAAATATGTGTTTTCAATGTCAGACACTAAAAATATTCGTACTTCACGTGCTGGATAAGCATAACCTTCAGGGCGATCTGATGTTCTTAAAGGACGCTATCACATAACTGGCATTGTTTCAAAACATGATTTGCTACATAATAGTCAATTGCCTGATCGACTTGATCACATGGCTCGTATTGTCTCAAAACATGTGCTATCCACTAGTCAAGGTCAGTAAATGTATGCCTGGGTTCTCGCTATCGTGGAGGGACCAGGTATGGTAGTGACCGTCGTCAATTTTACAGCAGTTGCCATATTTTTTTTTTTGAGTCATGATATACAAAAAAAACATGTGTTTTCAAGATCAGACACTAGAAATTTTCATGCTCCTTCCAGCTGGCCAATTTTCACAACATTGAGCAATTAAGTGGCTAAAGTAATTCCAAAAAATTTGAAATTTCGTCAGATTATAAGTCTTAATAACTCTGTGCAAAATTTCAGCCTGATCGATCAATTTTTGAGAAAAAGCGATTCGTTTTCAAATCGTTACGACAAATATCTTCAAAACTAGTGAACCGATTTCGATTTTTTTACGTTCAAAATACCCGTTTTGATGCCTTCTATCTAAATAAATCAAAACATAAACACCTGTTCATAAAAAGTTTTCAAGATATCCCCGTCTTTCGTTTTTTTTTCATAAAAAAGACAATTTGTAGCCAATAGCTTGTGCAAAAATCCAGATATCAACTTGAAATTTGGACAGAAAATATGTATACCCGTTCATACAAAGTATTCGAAACATTGAAATTTTTATAGCACGCATAGAAATGGTAGTAAATATCTGATATTTTTGCTACTAGTTGTAGATTTTCAGACCAGTCGGAAGTCCGCCATCAATGTATTGATGACGAAAAAAAATGCAACATCACTCAGTGACATGCTCACTGTCATATGGCGCGCTGTTATATGCTAGCTATCCCCTGCTTGTTTTCAGTCATCATGGTACGCAAAAAATATGCGATTTCAAGATCCGACTCTAGAAGTTTTCGTACTCCGTCTGATAATTAAGAAAGTTCTACAGGATTTTCCCCAGGATTTCCTCCAGGCAATTCCACAGGATTCTCTCCAGGAATCTCAGTTTTCCTGGAAAACTATATGAGGAAATTCCTCCATTTACCTGCGAACAATCCTGTGAAACTACTTGGGAAAAATTATAGGAAAAAACCTGGGGAAACTCCGGCAAAACTTCCTGGAGAGAATCCTGTGGAATTCTTGGCCAAACCACGTGGTAGAAATCCTCTAAAACTACATGGGGAAACTTTTGTAGGACTTCCTGGTGAGAATCCTGTGAAAATACCTGGCGAAAATCCTGCGGAATTTCCTAGTTCAAAATCTGTAGTACTTCTTGGAAAAAAATCTGTAAAACTTTCTGGAGGAAATCCTGAAAAGCATTCTGGAAAATTTCCTGGTGCAAATTTCCTCACACTTCCAGGAAAAAATTCTGAAAAATTTCCTGGAGAGAATCTTGTGGAAACTACAGGGCCGAAAATCCTGTAAAACTACCTGGGAAAAATCCAGGAAAATTTTCTGAAGCCCCATATGGTTATAATCTTCGGGTGGAAATTCTGGATTTTTGCAAGGACAAACTCAAGAAATGAATGTGACCATATAATCCTCTAAAATCAATAGAAGAAAGCACAAACGTAGTAGTTATTCAGAGGTCCGTCCCTTTCGCCCATGTTAAAATCTCTTCAAAATCACATAATTCTATCGTATTCCTATCCTACCCGTGGGCCATAATTCCACATTATATTCGTTTGTTTAGTTCCAATTAATTTTCCATTGTTTTTTATGTATGGCATCCCCCACGGACTTAGGAGAGCAAACAGCGACAGTTGCAAAATTGCCAACGGCCACCACCATACCTGATCCCTCTACGGTAGGAAGAACTCATGTACGAATTTATTGACCTTGAATAATGTACAGCACATAATGTTTTGAAACAATATAAGCCATATGATCAGGGTCATCATGCACATGAGGTCGACGTGAGGGTTATGCTAACTCGTCACATGAAGCACGAATATTTTTAGTGTCTGATTTTGACAACACATATTTTTTTGCAGACCAGAATGACTCAAAAAAAAAATGGCAACCGCTGCAGAATTGTCAACGGTCACCATCATACCTGATCCCTCCACGGCAGGCAGAACTCAGGCACGAATTTATTGATCTCGACTATTGTGTAACACATGATGTTTTGAGATAATGTGAGTCATGTGATGACGTCCTTCAGGAACATCAAGTCAAGCTGAAGGTTATGCTCGTGCAGCACATGGAGCACGAACATTTTTAGTGTCAGATATTGAAAACCTATATTTTTCCTACACAATGACTCGAAAAAAAATGGCGACCGCGGCACAGTTTCCGACGCTCACCAGTATTGGCGATCGCAACGTAGATGTGAGAGCCCCCCAGTAGTCCTGAACTAACTACTCTTGAGGGCCAACCAATGAGATCCCTAGCAGTGAACCAATGATGGGGGTCAACCAATGAGGTCATGGAGAACCCAGTGATCTCATTGGTTGGCCCCCAAGAGTAGTTAGTTTAGAGACCACCTGGTGGCTCCCACATCTACGTTGCGATCGCCAATACCTTATCCCTTTACAATGGAGAAGATTCAGGCACGAATTTAGTGACTTTGACCATTGTATAGAAAATCACGTTCAATC